ACGGCGTGACGATAGACGAGACCGTGAGCGTGAGGTCTTGTTGCAGCTCCCCTTCGAACCAAGTAGTAATGCCGTCAGTCGAGCCGATGTAAAGCAGGTCATCCACGTAGACGAACGATTAATAAGATGTAGTCGTCGCCTTTCGTGAGCCGATACATGCCCTGGTCGTGTGGTAGCTGTCGGAATCCGATGCGGATGAGTCGAGCGTATAGATACTGCTGCCACAGTCTTGGAGCCTGTTTGATGCCGTACAGGGATTTTAGTAGCTGACAGAGTTGGTTGGGCTCTCCATTGGAGCCGTGTGGAAGTTCGACGAAGATTTCGGCGTCAACAGGTGCGTAGAGAAATGCATTGGTGACGTCGATTTGCCGCAGCTTCTTCTTCTTCATGGCGGCGATCGCGAGAAGAATTCGGAGTGAAGTGTGTCGACTAACCGGGGCGAACGTCTCTGTGAAGTCACGTCCGTGCTCTTGGTCGAAACCACGCACGACCCAGCGCGCTTTAAACTTGTCGATGGTGCCGTCTGCCACACGGAAGACCCATTTTCCGGTGAGTACTGTTTTGTTGCGTGCCACGCCGAACGGAACGACTTTCCAGGTGTTCCGTTCTTCCAGTGCTTTCAGCTCCTTGTCCATGGCTTTGCGCCATTTTTCCCTATGATCCCCCCCCAGAGCCTGCTGAACTATGGCAGGCTCCTTAGGAATCCCCGTGCTGTGGACTGCGGTGACGAGGCCGAGTATCTGGAGACCACTCTGTGTGTAGCGGGGGAGTGTTGTGTCCTCGGGATAAGCTGCTTCGTCACCTGCTTCTGGGTTAGGTATGAAGTTGGGCCCTATGCGTTCTGCTTTGTTGGTGTTGACTTCTGCAGGTGCAACGTAACCGTTGTTGGCGAAGTGGTAAAATACTTCGGCGTTGGCGCTTTCGCGAGGATTTTCGTCATCCATTGGGACGTCGACGGAGCAGTAAGGGAGAGGTCCGGCTTCCTTCGAGGCTTCATCCACGTTCTGCTCGTCCCAGTCAGCTTCGTCTGCTGCCGAGGCGAAGGCTCGGTCACCACGGAAGCCACCTGTGGGGTCCCGATCTTCTTCCAGGTTGGCAAGGTACGTCGGAAGGGTGAGTCGTTCGTAGAAAATGACATCACGTGCTGCTACTGTTTCCTTGGAGTGGACGGCGAAAATCTTCCACGCGTTGTAATTTCTTTCGATGCCCAGGTGTAGTCCCCACTGTGCGCGTTGGGAGAATCGGCCGGCTCGTGCAGATAGGGGTCGGTATTGTACCATGCAGCCGAAAACTCTTAACATTTTTGTGCTGCCCTGTTTTCCTGTCCACAGCAGGTGCGGTGATGCGTTGTTCGGGAGCGATGATGACGAGAGCAAGTTGTGCAGCATGACAGCATGGTCCATTGCTTCGGGCCACTGGTGGTTGGGTAGCCGCATGCCACGTAGCAGCTTGCGCATGGTGTTCTGAAGAGTTCTGTTCATCCTTTCTGCTACGCCTTGCTGCTGGTGAGCGTAGAGAAGAGAGATGAGCCTCTTGATCCCTCTTTCTGCCAAGTACTGCTTGAACCTCTGTGAGGTATATTCCCCTCCTCCGTCTGACTGGAAGCTTTTTAGTTTCACGCCCGATTCTGCTACTGGGAGCCAAGCGACGAAAGCCTCGAAAGCCATGTCCTTGCTCGGAAGATTGAGGTGCCAGACGTAACGTGTTGCGGCATCGATGAACGTGTTAGTGTAGCTGTATGCTCCTTGTCCAGGTTCGCGGTTGTACAAGATGTCGCTGTACACTTTCTCGAGTGGTCCGTAAGTTGGTGCACTTGGGTTGTGGTGTGAAGCGAACGGCCGATGTGGTAAGTCAGCTTCGGGGCAGGTAAAGCACGTTCCACGAGCTCGTCGAAGTTCGCTTCCGTCGGTTAGGAGCAGTGAGTCTTTGTCGAGCACTCCTGCTCTGATTGTGTTATTTAACACTGTGTTGCTTGGATGTCCCATTCGTGCGCGCCAGATGTCTTCGCCAGCTCGATGTCCGGGTGAGCGACGGTACAAGTCGGAGTTGGAGTAGAAGTTTGCGGTGAAGTTTGCGCTTCGATGTACTTCTCGTGGTGTTGGGTTCAGTTGCTGCGCACGAGTCGGTGGAGTGTCGTCGTTGATTGGAGCTGGTGCAGTTGAAGGACCCGCGATTGGTGCCGATGCTGTCTCTGCTGCTGCCGATGTTGTCTCTGTTGTTGTCGATGTTGTCTCTGCTGCTGCTGATGTTGTCTCTGCTGCTGCCGATGTTGTCTCTGTTGCTGCCGATGTTGTCTCTGCTGCTGCCGATTGAATAGTTGCTAATGCTCTTGTTCGTTCTGCTTCAGGAATGGTGTGCGAGTACCAAAATCCTTCGGGGCTGAAGTCAGGATCAAGATCTGGTGGGTGCGTCCAAGAGGTGAAGGTGACGATCCCGTTGCTGTCGGCGGTGCCTAGATCTGGAACGAAGTCGAGAACAAACACGTTATTCTTCAGTACGGCCTTGCCGATGTAGAGGCCTCCTCTCCCGTGGTACAGCTTGAACTTCTGTATTGTGCTGTCTGCTTCGAGGTGGATGCCTTTCGCCATCAGTTGACTGACGCTCAGTAAGTTGTAGCCGAGTCCCTCCGCGATTAACACTTTTGACATCTGCAATATGACGTTTGTCTCTCGTGACTGAAGTTGCACCACGCCTTGTCGTCGTGTGCGCAGGTTCTGGTTGTTGGCGACGGTGATGACGACTTCGCGTTGGAGTTGGTGTTCGCGTTGAACGAAGCGACCTGAGGAGCACATGTGCTGTCCGCAGAAACTGTCCAAGAACCAGGTATCTTTCCCGGACGGCTCGCTTTGAGCAATGGCTGCATACGTCGGGTTTGGTTGAAGTGACTCGCGGCGAGGGGTGCTGTTGTCGAGTTGCTCTTCCGGTGAGTAGTGTGGTGGTGACTCGGTTATGCAGGAGTCAGTCAGTCTTGCCATGCAGTTGACGATGTTTCTTGTTCCTTGTGCAGATTGCGTTGACGATGTTGTTGAGGACTGCAGTTGACCCGTGGGGAGCGCTTGTGTGGACGTCACTTGACTACTTGAAGGACGAAGTTGGCGTTACGGCGGTGTTGACTGCTGTCGATTTGGGCAGTGTGTGCGAGGGTGCCCTGAAATCTTGCAGAGGTGACAGAACGGAGGTACGGGTTTTGGTTGATGCCGGTTGTTGTTGTTGTTGTAGCGCCGTTGAGTGTGAAACGCAAATTCAGGTACCGACGTTTTCTTCTTGTGTCGCTCCTCTTGCAGGTCCATGTCTTGCTACTCAGCGTGAATTTCGGCGCATAGTGCTGCTTTGGAGATCTTCCCGTGAGCTCGGAGTATGGTGCGAGTGGAGCGCCAATGAGGACCAAGACCGCCAATGACGACTGTGACGAAGGCGTCTTCTGATATTGACCCTCCGCATCGAAGGAGTTTGTCGTGCAATTCGTGACAGCGGCTGATATACGCCATCCCTTTTTCGCCCGGTTTCATTTCCACTGTTGTTAGTTGTGCCATTAACCGACTCTGATTGACGCTGTTTGTTGCCTAATACAGGTTCTTCATGTGGTTGTACGCGAGCTCAGCGGAGTTCCCGTATCCTCGGTAAGACCGAATGTTCTGCTGCTGGTTCGGTGTGACGTTGCGCAGTAGGATTGTATACGCCATCATGGACTGATATGTATACTGCTGCTTGTCGTATTGCGTCCCGTGTGTTGGGTATGGAAGGGACCCGTCGAAAAAGCCAAGAATCTGCGCGCCTTCCATCATCAACTCGAATTCGAATGACCAGGTAAAGAAGTCCTTTCCATCGAACGGTCTTGACGTCTGCAGTTTTAAGACGTGTGCAAACTGCAACTGAACTTGAAGTGCATCCAATGTCTTCTCTTGCTCAGGTGAAGGCTGCTGGCGCGCTGACGGAACCGCGCTGAGGTTCGTACAGGGCGAAGGTAGGTTGTTGTTGCTGATTTCCTCGTGCGTAGGATGAACCGTCGAGGCTCATCGGTGTTGCGTTGTTGTTGTTGCTGTTGTTTGACTGCGCAGGTGCCCCTTGCTGGTGTTGTTCGTAGAAGGACATGAAGGAGAAGAATTTCTCCATCATGTCTGGGTCGAAGCCCGCAGCTTGATTTGCGGGAGTTTCGGTAGACCCAGCTGCCGGTCTTGTTGCTGTGCCTTGCTCTGTCTGTAGGCCAGAGGCAGGAGGTGGAGTAGGAGTAGTACCGGGAGAGTCGTTAGAGGAGCTTCTCTCCTTTTGCGTTGCCATGCCTTGTGATGTTGTGGAGGTCTTGATTGTAGTTAAATTTGTCCTGATAGCTCTCATACCATGTTGGGCTGATAAAAGCCCATAGGATCTTTGCAGGACTAAATTCTGAGTAGGACAATGTAATAGCGGAAGCGTTTATTGAGAAGTCTGTGAACCACCTTGCGCTGGTATGTGAGGGCAAAGTAGATTGATTAAAACAGAGAGATACAAGCTTTTATAAGAGTACAAGGGAATATGAAGGGTTATAACTAATAACTGTTTTTGCTGTTGCTGTTGCGGTTCGATACAGTGACGAGTCGGGCAACTGCTCAATAACGAGTCTGTTGTTTGTCCTTGCTGTCGCGCTATACTTGTCAGGTCAAAGGTCGCTGACCTTTGACTTTCGCGTAACCTCTAGCGGTTGTTCAACCTCCGAGGGTTGACTCGCCAATGATTCGTTGTGTTTTTGTAACTTAGTGCTTCGACACGACAGAGGCGCTTAAGTTACTTGTTTCCAACACATTTTCCTAGGGATGCGGTTAAACAAGGGGTGGCGGAGGGGTCTCTCAGCTTATACTGAGCTAAACGATATCAAATCAGAAGAGAACGGCCCCTCTAGTGCACCCTGGTGTCTTCTTTGTAGGGTAACCCACTAGGCATGTACAGCATACTTATACGGAAAGCAATATCAGCAGAACGTAAATATTCTCGAGCACTACGAGTAAAAGTGCCACTTGTCAGAACTATAACTTATCGTAACCGCCCAAGTTGTCTTCAATCATCTGAAGTTCGGTGTCGAGGCTGTTCACACCGACAACATCCCTCATCTCCTGAACCTCCGCATCCACCTTCACAGCCGCGCTCAGCTCCTCTTTCCCCACCCACTCCTCACGGATGGCCTGCAGCTCGTTGGCGATGTGTGCCATGCTTGGGCGGGCTGCAGTGCGCTCTGCGGTGCAGGAGAGGGCGAGCTGAGCCACACGCAGCATAGCATCTGCAGGGGCGTCCATGGTGGGGTCCTTGAGGCTTCCCAGGTTTCCCGAGGGCAGGCACTCAGATGCCTGAGGGAGTGAATTGGGTAGAGGGTGTTGGAGAAGGTGAGATGAGACAGGTCATCAAGAAGGTGTGGAAAATATTTCAAAGCCTTTGCGACAAAGACGGTAGGTGGTGCGTACCCATGAAATGGTATGCCGTCCCTGTGAGGACCACTAGCAAGAACCAGCATTGGTGTTCATGTACTGGCACTGACAATGCCATCACAACAAAGTGCTAGACGCTGAGCTCATGGGATAAGGTGTTCACCCAAGGAGTGATCTGCTGACTCTTTCCATGAGTCTCCAAGAGTGGCGCCTGTCCCGTGAGTACCACCAGCATGAGCACTCCAAAGCTGAGAAAATGGTTGAAAGGCAGAGGCACAGGATGATCAGAGGCAGAGTATGATCAGAGGCAGAGTATGATCAGAGGCAGAGTATGATCAGAGGCAGAGTATGATCAGAGGCACGGGAAGATTGGAATAGGATGCAGACCCAGTGGCACTTTAGATGAGTCAGAGGCAGAAGAGGCAGAGGCACTTTAGATGAGTCTTGCCACCCGACCGCAGCATACCCAGATTCATGTACTACACACACAGAGAGGCCTTCTAAAAAAATCCTGCTTCACTATAGACATCACTGGCAGTGGTGGCCTTGGACGTAATTAAGTAAACATGATGATGCGCGTCGTGCCCAAACACTTCAAAACGTCTAAAAAAATAACACCTGTAGACCTCACTCACTGCCCTGTCTATAGACATCAGTGGCTGCAGTGTGGCTGATGTGATGGAATAAACAGGATCCCATAGCCCGGTGTGCCCATGACATGCGTCGTGCCGACGCTCTTCAAGATGTCTAAAAAATGCTCACCTATACACACCACTGCCTCACCTATACACACCACTGCCTCACATAAGGCCTTCGCAATGATCACCTGTACACATCGCTGGCTGCAGTGGCCTTGGATGTGATGGAGTAGACCGGATCCACATAGCCGGGTGTGCCCATGATGCGAGTCGTGCCCACAGTCGTGCCCTCCCCCATCCTCAGCAGCCCAAAGTCTGCAATTTTCGCCTGGTGATGCAGATGAGTGGCATTGTAGCATGAGGGATAGGGAATGGTGCATAAAATTGGACACTTGTGGCACTATCTATAACAGAGCAAGGAGTGAAAGAAAAAGGGTTCGTGAGTGAGGTTGAATAGAACATCTAGTAGCTGTATGAAACGAGATATGAAGTTCAAAACTTTCAACCACAGTAGGTGTAATGTCGTATACCAACACCTTGTTCAGACTTGAATGTGTAGCTTGACCAAAATAAACTACATATAAAACACAAACATGCCTCGATTAGACAAATATTATTCTGTCACAAAAAAGATCCACTGCAGCAAAAGCTTGCTTGCATGCTGTCGGTGATGAGGACGTTGGCAGGCTTGATGTCGCGATGCACGATGCCAAAGCCATGGAGATACTCGAAGCCCCGTGCCATGCCGCTGAGAATGTCCAGCCGCTGCTTCAGAGTCAGAGGGCGCTCTGCCTCTGCAAGGAATAAGTGCCAGAGGATGATTGGCACAGCAGATGAGCGGCAGAGTTGAGTGGCATCGGATGAGTGGCAGATCAAGAATGGCCAAAGGCAAACTACATCTCAAGGATGCGTGGCACAGCATATGCGTGGCACATCATATGCGTGGCACAGCGCATGACGAGCAAGCTGCTTTAGAGTCAAGGTCACGCTACGCAATACGATTGACACAGCAAATGAGTGGCAGAGCATATAATGGCGCAGCATGAGTGGCAGAGCATGAGTGGAATATCAAAGATAACATTGGAGAGGCACACGTACTTGGACCGATCCATTTGTTAAGATCGCCGTTGGGCACGTAATCATAGATGAGAACTTGCTCTGGCTGTGTCCTCAAGTCTCCTCCGATCGCAAAACCAAGGAGCTTCACAATGTTGGGATGGTTCTTGTTGGCCATCTGCTGGATCTGAGAGTAGCCAAGAGAGAAATAGCAAGTAGCAAAGAAAAACAGATTGCAAAGGAGAGCTCCGAACAAATAGCAGAACAAGCTCGACGAATTGAGGAACTGACTTGCAATATCATGCCTGCAAAGGCTTGTGAGAAAAGGCTTTCTATGCGCCACCATGGCTCACTGACCTCCTTCTGAAAGCCCACATCGATCAGCTTGGAGCGCTTGACAGCCCACAAGGTGGTGCCATCGCGGGGAGACACGCCCTTGTACACATCGCCAAAGGCACCCGATCCCAGCTGGTGGTCGGGGGACCAGTCATTGGTGGCCTTGAGGACCTCCGCCAGTGAGAACTCCGTGCAGTGCGAGGCTGCCAGGCTGCTCCCCCAGCCTGCTAGTAATGTCAAAGGTGAAAGGAGGAGCATGGGTGCAGGGAAACATGCTTGAGCTGGATTATCAAGTCGCCAGGTCGAGTCGAGTCCGGTCGAGTCGGGCCGACTTCTGTGAAATCATTGCGTGCTGCGTAGAGTCGGGTCACACCCGTGACTTTGCCCCAACTTGCTTCGTGAATTGTCGTTGAGACCCAGCGTGCATGTAATTTCACGGGTCATAAAATTGACGACTCCATATGTATGCCCGGGTTATACAGAGCCCTGAGAGACCCTAAGAACTCGCAGTCCTAATACTTGACTTCTTAAAACCATTGACTTCTTAAAACCATCTGTTGCCCCCTGTATTGTGTAGCCCAGCTATACGTCCCTTAGGGTACATCCACTGTTGAAAAAGGCATACAGCAGCACGTAAGCTTGTGACAAAAGCAAATTCGTGGGCCAAGTTCAAAAGTCAAACTGCTTGTGGCGAGTCAATCTCACTCATTTCAAGCCAAGCATTTTTCAGCAGCTGATCTTGGCTCGACTTCAGTTGAGTAGAGCACGACTAGGCTTGCACACTAGCATGCTCATGTCTAGGTACATGCAGTGAAAACCTTACTTTTTCACGTATCGTTATGATTGCTTCGTTTCCGTACCTTGTGGCTGTAACTTGTGCCTGAAGTAAACCAGAGTGGCGACAAGAAGTAGGAGAATCACCACAGCAGCAACAACGATGCCAATGATGACTCCCACTGACACTCCACCTCCACCTCCTGCTGAAGAAGATTCGCTGCTGCTGCTGCTGCTGCCGCCACCGCCACTGTTGCTGACGCTGCTACCGTTGCTGATTCCTGCACATGACATGAGCATAAATCCACACATGCTGCGGGGATTTCTGCAAAACGATCACTAACAGGGCTAGCACGTGAGGGGTTCTTTTTTCAGAACATGCCTTGTGCCGTGCAACTATGTTAGAAAAAACGTTCAGTTTGTGTAGCGTATCACGTTTATTCGTTTACGTATAAACGGAAAAAATGTGATACGGGTACAAATACGCGATACGTCGCGTCGGGCTGCCCACCATTTTTTTTTTTTTTTTGAAAATAATTTTCGTGCATCCAACCCCACTTGTAACTCAACATTACGAGCTCCACATTTTGGGAAGCCACACCGAGTCACCAACTCATTGCACGTAACTCATCCCACTCCCAACTCATCCAACCAACCAAACCACCATTCCCTCTGCTCAACCACATTTATAAGTTGCATCAATTTCTGGACATTACTCATTCACTACTACTCTCACACTACTACTTCCTTAAATTCCCACCTTTGTTATCGTCAACTCTCCAATGTCGACCGCCGGTGCAACTCCGATTAGTGGGAGCCGCGACCCTAATGTCGCGTCAGCTTCGGGTTCCACTGAGTGTCTTCAAGAGGACAGCACACATATCGTCTTCAAGTACTCCAAGGTGCCTATCCGCCCAGACTGCGTGGGCGTAGTCCGCATTTGCAAGTACTGCAATCTCGAGTTCAAGGGTGGCGCATTTCGATGCGCCCAGCATCTCGCCAAGTGGAAGGGCTTGAAGTCGCGCGACGTGCGACTCTGTTCAAAGGTGCCGTTCGACGTCCGTGCAGCTGTGCGCACGCATTACGAGCGTAAGCAGAATGGGCGGGAGGACAAGAGGCGTGCGGAAGACGCCGCGCTTGCTGCTGTCTCTGGAGGATCAAAGAAGGGGAGGACCACTGATTTCCTCGGTGACGAGAAGACGTGCAAGACTCAGGCGGCGCATGAGTCGATCTGCCTGCTGTCCACTGACCTCCGCCTTCCCGAGCACCACACGGACCATTCGCTATGGCGAAATGCTGTGCGGTCTATCGCCGAGGCGGAATCGGTTACTTCCCGCCTAGTCGCCGCTACGTGGGAGGGGCGGGACTGCAGGTGTGTCAAAGTCGGATCGAGCAGGGATTGGGGCCTATCGCGGCGAGCTGGAAGCGGGACGGAGTGACGATTGCATCGGATATGATGACCCACAAGTGTGGCATGCCGCAGGCGAAAATCCTGCTCATCAACGAACCGGCGGCAGTCTTCACTGAGTGTGTCGACTGCAAGATGGAATCCAAGACGGGGGGCTACATTGCCGACATGCTCCACCCCATCATCGAGAAAGTGGGACCGGATAATGTGGTGGCGTTGTGCATGGATGGCGGGTCGAACTACGCGACGGCATGCAACACGCTCGTCCTGGAGTGGCCCCACATTGAGGTCGTGCCGTGCGCCACGCACGTGCTCGACCTCCTCATGGAAAACATTGGTCGGATGGCATCGTCATCATCGTCGTCGGCCCTGCGGGCGACCTCATCAGCTTCATCCGCAATCATCATTTCACACGCGGGTACCTGTGGAGTGATGCAGTGCAAGGCGGGAAAGGGAAGCAGGTGCTTTAGCCGGCTGGCACCAAGTTCGGCACGCAATTCATCGCCGTTTCCAGGCTTTGTGAGGTGCGGCCGTCCTTGGTGCAGATGGTTTTGAGCGAGGAGTGGGCGGCATGGGCAAAGGGGGCGCATCGGCTGACGGCAGAAACATTCTGCACCCAGGTCATGGACAAGGAATGGTGGAAGTGCGCGGCATACTTCGTGGAGTTGTTGAAGCTCCCTTTCGTCGTGCTGCACGCTACTGACTCCACCGCCAAAGGCATGATGGGCCTTATCTACGACCGGATGCTCCAGCTCACCGAGGACATCAACGCCAAGCTGGAGAAAGGGGAGGGAGTTCTGACCATGGCGGAGAAGTCGGAGGTGGGTAACATCGTGAGGCGCCACTGGGATGGGAGCCTTGCATGTGCAATGCATGTGGTCGGCAGGATCCTGAATCCCGCCAACCAGGAGGAAGGCATCGTTCGCAATGATGTGGAGTGCAAGCGCATTCCCAAAAGCTTCATCACCCACCACTTCGAGGGTAAGACAGTTATCCGCAAGGACGGTGAGGAGCGCCGGGCTTCCCTTGCGCAGGAGGGACTGACGGCGTTCCTCAACCTGGAGGGTCCTTTCGGCCTCCCTGAAGCCATTGCCGACAAGGAGGCCATGAAGGCCGGTAAGCAGTCCATGGTGCAGTGGTGGGGTTGGCACAGGACCGACCACCCCGAGCTGACGCGGCTTGCGTGCTGCGTCCTCACACAGCCCGTATCTGCCTCTCCGTGTGAGCGCGGCTGGGCCACGTGGGACCGGGTCCACACTTCCCGCTGCAACAAGTTGGGGTCCCAGAAATGCCGGGACCCCGTTTTCGTCGCGCACAACTGGAAAGTTGTACATAATTGGCATAAGGGAGATTCGGGGCTAGGGTTTCTGCCAGGGAACATCCCTGAGCCGCTTGTCCCCGAGAGATACAAGGAGATTGAGGAGGGGGAGGAGGAGGAGGGTGCTGACGACGTGCTTGCAGATGAGTATGTGGAGTAGGAGGGCATGGTTATGAGGTGGAGGGTGATTAGCAGCAATGTATGATTGTAATGGAAAATTATTGATATATGTGGAAAATTTCACAACCAGACGAAAAACAGCTCCTTTACAAACCTTGTATAACTCCCCTCCCCTAGACCCTTTTTTTCCCCTGCCCGAAACTTTTTTTCCCCTGCCCGACACAACGGACTCCGGGCGTATTTAAAAGTGGGAATTTGGCGTATCGCATACGGACGGGGGCGTATAAGATGAGCGCGACTGATACTCGATGCGCGTATTCTCCAACATAGACGTGCAATGCCATGCAATCCCATGTGTTTCCATGCATTCCCATGCGTTGCATGCATTCCCATGCGTTGCATGCATTCCCATGTGCCAAACGTCGCTTGCTGTAAAGATATTTTTCTCTAACAACATATTTCTCTGGCACAACACTCTTGACTCCAAAACGCACTGTGCCATGCATCATTCCGTGTCTCGTTTCATTTCACTCTCAAATCATACTTGGGAGGTGCGGTTATTTACTCGCCTGCAGATTGGTTGGTGCAAGTATTGCAGAAGGGTCTACACGTGCGGCAAAAGGTTGTTCTAGGAGATTGTTTTACACCACAGGTAGAGTTGTCAGGTGGGCATGTGAGATTGGTGCCCGAGATGTTGCTGAAGTGGAAAAGGGGAGATGAAAATGCGAAAATCATGGGCACAACTGCAAAGGTGGGGACAGTAAGGGGATGGTGGCTAGGAGGGGCATGGAGACATTGCCAGCATCCTGGAAAAAGCTGCAAGTCACAGTAACTCCTGCAAGAGTGTTCTATTTGAGCCAAACATGTGCTTTCTTTGTGACATCAGATCAGCGTATCCCCTATCTCACACGGCCTACAAGTCTGTTTTGGGTTCAGTACTTGCTCAAGCCTACTTTCAAGTTCCTAGATTGGTCCAGGTTTAGCACTTCTTCAAGCCTATCAACAAGTTCAATTGTTGTTTGGGGACTGGTATCGTTCAAGCAGTCTAAAAAGTTCGCTCCAATTTAGGTACTTTCTCAAGCCTATTCACAAGTCCAGTTGGAGTTTGTTACTTGCTCAAGCCTACTTACAAGTACTTCAAAGAAGTGAGACCTCCAATCTCAGCCGGAATCTCCCCGCTGAGGTTATTAGCAGAGAGGTTTCTGCTCACATGGGGTGGACGGAAAGTGTGGAAGTAAGCCTTGTTTGGCTGATGCAGCAACATGCATCCACTCATCAACTTAAACGTATGCATCAACCCTCCCATCAACTTAAAGGCATGCATCCACCCATCCACTCCACATGAAGGCATGCATTGAGATGGAGAAAGCTGGAAGTTCCAACATGTGCATCTATCCCAACAGAATATAGATGGCAGGTTGGTAAACTGGGATGGCACGGCAGCGACGATAAGGTGCAGAGCACCATTGAACATGTCACAGCATATTCCAGCATGCTTTGGAACAGCAACTGAGGTGACAAGACTATGGAAGGTCACAGAGCGACTATGAAAGTGAGCCGATACTTGAGCGCACAGTGCAGGCTTGACACATAAAGATCGGCGTTTGGCCTTGGCCCGTCACATAAAACAATGATTCTAGTAAGCTTCGTACAGGTAGGTGAGGCCATCAAGGAAGGCGAAGTTGGTGAACATGGGGCCACTTAGGAAATTGGACGAGAGATCCCTGTGCATAGTGTGTTGAGGGTTGAAGGAAATGAAGATTTGAGAATAGCAGGCATGGCAAGAATCCCGGGAAGCACATGCAAGCGCCCCAAGGATGTGATGCGCCAAGATCCAAACAGGTGGGGAGACTTGCTGCGAGCATAAGGGAAAAGTGAGGCCATCAAGGAAGGCGAAGCTGGTGAACATGGGGCCACTCAGGAAATTGGATGAGAGATCCCTGTGCATTGCATGTTGTGGGTCATAAAAATTGAATATTTAAGAATAACGGGCGTGGCAAGAATATCGGGAAGCACACGCAAGCGCCGCAAGGATGTGATGCGCCAAGATCCAAACAGGTGGGGAGAATTGCTGCGAGCATAAGGGAAGAGAAAACACAGCATTGGATTGGGAGCAAAAGAAAGAAGCATTGGCAAAGGAAAGTAGTGAGGGTCGAAGGGGAAAGGAAGGGAGATTGAAATTGCTGCTGAATTGTGGGGCTAAGTGGAGGAAGCATGGTGGTTAAGAGGAGAATGGATCTGAGAAGGGGCACACGGATGGATGGCCGCAAAGCACACAAGTCGTGAGCTGTTAGATTGTTGAAGTACAATTGTTTATTTGATTCTCCCAGTGCTGCCAACAAGCCAATGGTAGTAGTTGGATTGGGATAGCCTAGATATGAGCACGAACCGAACTCAAACATGTTTGCTCAAACTTTTGCGAACCTTGCATGATGGTTGAACCGAACCGAACATGTTTGCTCGAACTTTTTTTAGAATTTTGAGGTTTGAGGTTTGAGTATCTAATAGCGAACCCTAAAGGTTTGCTCAAACCATGAAAGGTTCGAGCGAACTCGAACCTAGTTCGGTTTGAGGTTACGAAAGGTGCATAAGGAAATGTAAAATGCTTGCGGAACACGTTCGGACGGCCCCTCTTGGCGCTCCGTGACGGCCCCATTGCAGGGCTGGCCGGGATTCGTCATGCTTGATGTTTAGGGTTTAGTCCCTAAGAAACGGAATGCTTGGACTAATCCCTACAAAACGGAATGCTCTGCTGGAGGCCTAACCATAATTTATGCTCACAGTAATTTCTAACCTAACTCCTAAATGCATGACGCATCTTATGAGGAATGTCTAGTTAAAGAATTGTAGAGGGGGAGCTTGAATCTGGTACTTAAAACCGGGGTGCACATTCAGCTGAATGTGCATCAAAGGTTATCCCTTGACTGAGTGGGTTACGAGGTGTGCTTTCAACCCCTTCAAGTCGAAATTCGTTTCCCCCCTCCCCCGCAATTTCGTTTCCCCACGCCCCCGCAATTTCATTTCCCCCTCCCCGTCGAATTTCGTTTCCCCCCTCCCCCGCAATTTTGTTTCCCCCCTCCCCCGCAATTTCGTTTCCCCCCCCTCCCGCCAATCTGTTTCATCCCTCCCGCCATTCGGTTTCACCCACTCCCGCCATTTCACCCCCTCCCGCCACCTACGAAATGCCCGAAGCTCTAGCGGAATCATTTTTTTGTCGCCCTTCGTGAGCCAATCACTGTTTTTCTCCAAACCCCCTTCCCAACATCTCAAGCCGACCCGCGTTGAATGTGCACCCTGGTTTTAAGAGCAGATACAGATCTGCTCTAGTTAAAGCTGTCGCCTACATACCTCCTGCGGGAGGACCTGGTTTATCACTTGAAAACCAGGTAGCAAAGGGCTTCGCTCCATCCTTGGGTGGCGAGGTGCAGTTACTGCTTTCTGACAACCCAACCCCCCCTCTGAAAGTTGGCCTGCTCAGGATTGGCTTACAAATTTCGCGCCAATCTACCCCCCAACCTCGATTGGTTGCAGGTTGTGGCGAAATCGCCACCACAACCCCAACCTCACGAAAAAAGTACCCCCCCAACCAAACCTTGCACGAAACTGGCGGGATTCGCCAGTTGTGTTTGAATCCTTCGCGCTCTCATTTCTGGAAAGGGATCATTTCGTGTGCAAATCAGACTGCGTCTTAGGGTGTGCACCCGAAATACCCCCAGAAAATGCCCTTTGGTATGTAGACCGCAGCTTTAAGTTACGAGTTTAGGGTTGGCTGCCGTGAAATGGCAGCCAACCCTTCGACTTTCCCGTTTTTGACAGGAAAGTCGCGTGGGATTTGGCGGGTGCCTAATTCGAACCCCACGCTGTTCGAATTAGACAGTTTTGAACTTCGAACCTGTTCGGTTCGAAGTCCTAAACTCGAACCTAAAAAGTTTGCGCGAACAGTTCGCGCAAACTTTTTAGAAGTTTGCTCAAACTTTTTTGACTAGAAAAAAAGTTCGGTTCGAGTTAACTCGAACCTGTTTGAACGAACCGAACCTAGGTTCGGCTCGTTGCTCATAGGCTATCCGATAGCCTATGAAACTTACAGGTTCTCCAGGTTGACCAAGCGGCCGAGAGAGGATGGAATGGATCCAACCAAGCGATTCCCTTGTATACTCCTGACAGACATGAAACGCAGCCCATGCGAGATGAGGGAGAGGGAGTTGACAGGGAGGAAAAGAGCAAGACGACCCTAATGCTGGTTGGCCATAAGCTTCAGTAGAGTTAATATCAATGTTATATCTGAGTAGAAGCAACCATTGATCGCATCAGAGGTTACAGAGAATATCACATGGGGGTTGTGGCCCGCGATGCAAGCAGCCCTTCAAGATATGAATGGACTTCTAACCGATGAAAATGAAGCCCCTACTCAACCCAATCTAACTGCTGCAGGATCGCGGCAATCCGATCACCTTGGTGCGCACCAGGTCAATGCAGTTCACCAGGTTTCAGAGCCTTCCGAGCCGACGAAAATGCGTCTCAAACCGGTTCACCTGCTTGCCTTGGTGCGCACTAGTGGGGTGCAGTGCAAGCAATGGTTCGCACTGTTGCGCCCCTCGTCGCACCAGGGCACGCAATGGTGCACGCGCCATCTTTTGCACAACATTAATAAACCGGGAAACATATACTGAATGAACTCCGATCCTTCTTTGACCACTTTACCACCACTCAAACGATACACCGACATCACGACATTGATAAACCAGGAAACACAATATGAAATTTGCTGATCCTCTCCTTTTGTCATTTTACCACCACTCGACAAACCCACTAACTCTTGTTGGTGAGCATTCCAAGTAAATGGATTTTCAAGTTACATTTGTAGGTGCAATTTCAATACTTAGAAGGATAAATGCGCCCAATGAAAGGCAAAGTGTTCCGCACTTGCCCCGAGGAGCACGACTAGCTTGAGCTGGTGCGCGCCAGTGCGGTGCACTGCACTGAGTTCACAATGTTTGCACCACGTCCTTACCACCAGGGCTAACCCAGGTGCGCCTCACA